CCCAGCAGTTGCAAGGATTCTACGAAAGTGGTGGTTTCTTTCTAATCCACCAACCTATTAGACCACCTCCTATCTCCAGTACAGTCCGGTGTACTTTTTAGCGTTGGCATTGGTTGATGTTTTGGATGGTTGGTGATGTTGTGTGGGATTTCGGACGCGGCGCTTATGGTCGCGTTGCGTCATAGAAGCCGTATGCTCTATGGATTTTGCTGACGGTAGCAGCAGCGGCTTTGATCGGCGCTGGATAATGGTTGTTGGTTGATGAGTTGAGACCAACAAACACTATGGATAATGGTGTGGTTTGATGCAGGAAGTAGATCGAATTTGTACCAAGGTATGTTAGCGTAAGAGGGATTGAAGTGGCTGGGGTGCCACACGAAGACATCCACTTTGCGCGACTTGTTGCTGCAGTAGAGATCATTGTGCATTATAAACATTGCTCAGCGTAAACCTTCTGCAGTGACATATCACGTTTTCAGACGCAGAAGGAGCATCACAAAGAGCCCTATTCGCACTTCGTCTAGGTAAACTGTGAACAGTTTATACTGCCATTTTGCTACTTTATCTCTCTTAAATTCTAGGAGATCCCGTTCTCGCAGCCGTTCCCGCTCAAGATCTCGCGACCGTAAGCGCAGTCGTTCGTCGTCACGCTCTTCATCTCGTTCACGTTAAAATGTTTGTCAGTGTTCATCCTCTAAAGTGTGTATTCTCCTTCAATATTTTGTTTTTTTTTTCCAACTTAAGGTTTAAATCTATGAATGGTGTCACAGAACTTGAAACTATTAGTGGGTTGTTGAGTTGGAAACGTGTTGTATTATCGCGGTTGACTCTATTCTCTCATTATCGTTCCATGTTATATGTTCATTTCCAGTTTTTTCATTGAAAGTTAAACATTCTTCTTCTAGAAGCAGTATATTGTGCAAGTGATTGATTAATGAACTGTTGGTAATTCACTTCGTGTACGATGGGACGTGTATGAACCAGCACTTTTAGAATATGTGTGTTGAAGTTAACTCTAAATGATCACAAATAAGTCTTCTAGCTGGGATGAAATCAACTATAAACGACTATCATCTTCTTGTTGCTCAAAATTTCCTGTCTAACATCTCGTTGGATGGGACATATCCGACCACAAATCTGCAGCTATTCAGAGATCGTAGGGAGAAGGTGTTTTAAATAAAACTTGAAGATCGTGTGATTGATAATGTACCTATAGATGTCTAGGCTTCTTCAGTGAAGAACGATGCGGAGTCGGAAGTGTCAATCTACGTTGGTGAAGATGCTCCCTTAATGGGAACGGGTAAAGTGAGATGAAATGTGTTTTGGGCTGGAGAGCTTCCGTTGATTTTTTTTTCTAATCAGAAGAATATTGGCGCTCACACAAGTAGTGATAGTCCTGTCATCTCGGGATCTTC